TGGTAAAATCATTGCTCCAGAAGACAGGTCCGCCTAACTTCTGTACTGAGCGGCTAGTGCCCTCCAGACAGGAGGCAAAGTTACATCTGTTAAAATGTTGTAAGGCCGGCCTTCAGAAACGGATAAGATACAGTTAAAACAAGGGTTCGTCATTGAAGCTGTAGTTCCACTATTTCAATTACTTGTGTTACCTGGTATCTTGAACTCTGGGATACAGACGTAAAGAAATAAGCCTGGCAGGTTTGTTGAAGTGAATGTAATTATTCCAGTTCTCTTAGAGGCAAAACAAATTTTGTTTTTGTATGTGTGGGGGAGGACGGGACAAGAAAAAGTCTCTCTTTTTGATAGTAAATTTTAGTACGCAGCCGAATATTGTAAATATCGTTTGTAAGAGCTCTCAAAGGAAATCAGGCCTATTCTGGAACTGGAACAACAAAAAGGAAAAACTCTCCGGAAATTTCCTTTTTCGGGGGGAATAATGAAATTCATCTTTAATAGAAGTTACTTAGTCGGGAATGGTGGCGCATGCTTGTATTCCCAGTACTCAGGCTGAGGCCAGCAGTATTACAAGTTCGGGCAATTTAGCGACTTAGCAAGACTGATTCAAACTAAAAATTAAAAAGGGATAGGGATGTGGGGCTGGGGATGTAGTCAATGTGAACGCTCTGGGTTCATTCTTCCATACAGAGAAAAAGTTACTTTGTCTATGCCTGCTACAAATTTTATTTGATAATTTTCCATTATTTATTTTAATTCTGCAACTTCTCTTGCCTTAACTTCTTCACCAGTAAAATGGAAATAGTAATGTACTAATACCTGACTCATCAGGTTATAGAATTAAATGAAAACATACAAAGCGTTTGAAACCTGTTTGTCACACAGTCATCACTTAATTAGCTTTATATATTTTTTTTAATTTCCATTTTCTAACTTCTATAGTTGCACATGTTAGTCAAAATAGAGACCGAAGAAGATAGATAATTTCTTTCTAATCCTCCAAATTGAGTAAACATTCTGCATAGTGTTTAGTTAATATGTCCTTGAACTCTTGGTTCCAATTGCTGTTATCCTTTCTTATTAAAGTGCAAATGCTTCCTTTCTCCCTCTCCCTCTAGTCTTGTTGCTGTCGAGGTTAGTTTTGTGTCTCTAGGTTCTTCGTTAATCCAGGATCTTGCTTTTGAGAATATTCATTCTATTTTACATATATTTTATGCATCACTGACCTTTTTCCTTCATGCTATGTTCCTTGTAATTCCTTACTTTAATTTTATGCAGTTTTCTTGAGTAGCTACTATAGTCAAGTCATCCTTTGAGGAATTATACCCAGTCACTTCCAGATTATTTTATTGCTGTGACTCTACAATCTTTTTCTCTTAGCTATCTTTTAGCGAATATCCCTCCTTACTCTATGAGATTATCAACTAACCTCAGATACTTTACCACTGAATATTAAATACCTTACAGATCTTTACCTTTGTTGGAATGAGAAAACAGATAATTATTAATTAATTTACTTAGAAAATAAATATTTAGTAAATGAACGCAAATTTCATTTTTATACTCATTAAAAACTATGAGTAGTCATTATGTTCCCTTCCCCACTTTTGAAATAAAATTATATAAAGGATCCTGAGAGGTTGGGGGTCTTTCCACATTTGTTATAGAATTGGTGCCTAGACAATCCATTTCTTTTTTTTTTCTAATTGCAGCACTCCATTTACACCGTCTCACTTGGTTTCCAAATCTTTTATCGCTGAGAAAGTTACTAGGTTTACTTGAATTGTTTTGGAGCAAACAACTTTTCAAACACAGCATTTAAGTCTTACAAAGAGGTCCAAATTTTAAACTAAAGAAGTACATTTTTTGGGTATATTCAGTGTTAAGTGAGACTAAGATATTTTTATACTTTACAGTATCTCCTTTTATTGTGTGTATTTAGGAGTTACAAACAACTGACATTAAAATTTTATGCTTGTAAGAATTTCTTGTACCTGAGATACATTAAAAAATTTTTGAAAATGAGCAGTAATTGAGAACTTTGTACATTCACAGAGATTTGACCCAATAGGTGTTCTTACATGTAGGCCTACTGAAGACTTGTGTTCATCTCTTACATTCATGGTGTTTCACTATACTGTGTTCTTTTGTATACAAATAAAACCAAAATGACTGGAGATGTTTTCATGAAATGTACATTGAAGTAAATTTCTCCACTCTACAATGTCATGCTTCCATTAAAGATCATGTAAAAGTGAAGAATTCTCATATTTTTTAAAAATTGAGTTTATTGGTACATTTTAGGTATATAGTACAGTTGCATTCGTTATTGGGATCATGTACCTTTACATGACAGGTCTTGGTTCTCATTTAAGAATTCTCATATTTTATATTTATACTTATTTTCAGTGTTTGTTCATGTTTTCTGGAGTTATGGGAATAACCAAAAGCTTTCTCATATAATCTACATAGGAATTCTGTATGGTGAGAGATCCTTCATGTGTTTGAAGGTAACTGGAAGAACTTCAGGATTTCCCACATCAATAACATGCATGTAGTTTCGCTCCCATGTGAATACTTTCACTTATTTGAATGCATTGGGAAAAATAAAACCTTTCCAACATTGCTCACGTGTGGTCAGATTTTTCTTCCTTATGACTTTTCTCACATATGTAATGAAAAATTTCCCATATTTTTTAGAACAGGCTTCTCGCCACTATAAGTCCTCTCATGTCTTTGTAAGCATGAGTATAAATTTACAGTTTATTTCCTCTGTGACAATTTAAAATGTTGATTATAGAAGCAACTGAAGGCTTTTCCACATTGATGACAAACATCACCCTAGTGCGGGTTTTTTGTTTTTTTCATGTGAGCTGAAAGTTTTTGCTTTCATACATATTTTCTTACATATTTTCTCATATATTGCTTACATACATATTTTCTGTGCAGTATAAGTTCACATACGTCTACACAATGAACCTTGCAAATTAATTGTTGAACACATTGCTCACATTTCCAGGGGTTTCACTCCACTGTCTTCTTATGTTTGCAAAAGGAACTGTCCCTGGTGAAAGCTTTCCTATATTGCTTGCATATACTATAGAGTTTCTGTCCAGTGTGCATTCTTTCATGTTTTTGACAATAGTTGGGTGTACTGAATGCTTTCCCACTCTGCTTACATATATAGAGTTTCTCTCCAATATGAATTCTTTCATGTATTTTATGATAACTATGTGCATTAAAACTTTTCCGCACTGTATTTCATGTATTTTACAATGAGTCTGTTGGCTGAAAGCTTTCCCACATTGCCTACATACATAGGGCTTTTCTGCAGTGTGAATTCTTTCATGTATTTGGCAGTTACTGCCTCTGCTGAAAGCTTTCCCACATCGATTGCATACATAGGGTTTCTTTCCAGTGTGAATAGTTTCATGGACTTTACAATAACTGTTGCCTGAAAGCCTTCAGGCATTGCTTACATACATAGGGTTTCTCCTCAGTGTAAATTCTTTCACGTGTCTGACAATCCTTCTGTGTGCTAAATGCTTTCCCACCTGGCTTACAAACAGCGTTTCTCTCCAGGTTTTGAATGTGCATGCTTTTGAAGGGACTGGAAATCACCGCAGGCCTCTGTGTGCATTACATAGACTGCTTTTCTTCAAATCCCTGATACTCATGTGATCTGAGTGCATTTTGAGCTCTGATGGGTGCAATTAGTAATAAACAACCAATCATTTTGGGCTTTCGATAAGACTTTCAGCTGATTTTGAAGCAGGTGGTTTCAGTTTCACATCTGGAATCCACAGACATTTCTCTATTTTGATGCCATAATTTATATTGGCAACATTTCACTATTTCTTCACTTAGATTTCTTCTCCACCATTTGCACTCGTGTTCAACTTTCTGCTCACTTTAATTTCTTCCTATAACAGACATGTTTCTAAAGGTTTCTGCCATCACATCTCTGTAGAGCTTCCTCTGGGATGGATTCAGCAGAGGCCACTGCACCACAGTTTAGTTCACAGTCACATCCTCAAAGATCACTACCTCCATTAAGTAGCTTCAGGGTATCCCCATGGTCCTTTCCACAAAACTTACAGTTGGTGCAAGGCATCGAGTAAAATGGTCTAGCCAGCTGGGGCTGATCTCAGCAGTGCACTCAGGACCAGAACCTTGGCACCATAACACAGGAAGAGACCTCTACAACTAAGCTATTTTTGTTTTGCTTTTTTCGGGGGCGATGGGCAGGTTCTCATTATGTACTTCTGGCTGGCCTCAGATTCATGATGATCCTCCTGTTTCAGCTTCCTGGGTGCTGGCATTAATGTGTGTGCCACCACACCTGCGTTATAAGCTATTTTACAAAGTGGTTTTTATGGTAGTGTTCTAATGCTGCATAGGTAAGTAATTTGTATTTATAGTTTGTGGTTTTACTTTCATTTCTCAAGTTGCATTATGGCCTGAATAGTACTTATCTCCTAACTCATTTTAATTAATGGCATATATTAGTTTTTTGAGGCTGCCTTAACAATTATCATAATTGGGAGGCTCAAAACATCAAGCATTTATTCTGTCAAATTATTGGAGGTGAGAAGTTTGAAATCAAGGTGGTGGTTGGGCCTTGCTCACCCCCGAGGCTCTGGAAAAGAATCCTTCCTTTCTCTTCCTAGTTCCTTGGCAGTTCTGCTGGATGCATCCACCTAACCTCTGTCTTCATCTAGCATTTCCCTATGTGTCTTCTTGTCTTCACATCATCATCTTTCAGGGCACCAGTCTTTAGAATTTGAATCACCCTGATGCAGTATGATTTCATCTGAATTGTATTTGTAAACACCAAGATACTTCTAAAGAAGACCCACTCACAGATGCCAGGGGTTAGGACTTCAGCATATTTTGTGGAGGACACAGTTCCACAACATGGCCATATGTGTTAACTAATTAAATATTTCTCTTCATGAAATATATATTATAAATAGAAGTTAACTGGTAAAACTTGGGTGATAAATTGTCCTTTTTTGGTTTTAAGCTTAATTGAGCAGATTGTAAAAAATTCATGAATTCTATGTTTAATTTGGCAAAGCATTTGGTAGTCTCATTCAAATGAATGCAGTGATGAAATACAGGGTGCATGCAGGACATTACTTACACTGTTGATAATGTCTGTGTTTTTCTTGTTTGAAAGGGGTTTCTTATGTCTTATCTAGTTATTCAAAGTCTTGGTTGGCCTTAGGGATTTCTGGTGACTTCCTGGGCGGTTTAGGACCGATGGTAAAGAAACAGAAGTGCTACTGGTAATTGTCACGGAATAAGTAAGGAGTTGGGTACAGGAACCCCTAAAATTAGATTTTATGGACCAATCTGGAAAAGTGTATAGAAAAAATACCAGGAAGGGCCTGGGTTTGAGGACTAACATAGAATTACAATTTTTGATTTTGCTAAGGCTATTTGAAAACAACGCACTTAAAAAGCTTGATTATTAAAAACCTATTATTACTTTTATCATCTCATAAAGGAAAGGACATTTTGATACAAATAAGAAAGGAATCTCAGGATAGAAGATGGATTTTTAAATTGGTAAGTTTTAAAAAATATTTCCTACCATGTCCTCACGTTTTTCATTTAGGTAGAGATTGGTCTTCTAGGAAGCATTGACCCTTGGTATTTCTAAATAAGTGCATTTTAAAAAATTTTGCTGACCAAACTGTGCAAAAAAACCAAATAGAATGGGTGTGGGAGCAATGGAATTGGTTAATTGGGAGGGGCTCAAGGTTTGAGAATTCTGGTGAACATGAAGAGCTTGAATGATAGTTGTTTTCATTTAGAGGGGAAAATGATGTTTGGGATTTTCTATGTGTAGCAGTTTTTGAGGGATGAGAGGAGACAAGACTTAGTACTGCTCCTGTGAGCATAGAATTAAGATGGAAGTTAGTGGAATAGAAGAACTATTAAGCTATGTGGCAAAAAGATTTTAGTATGAATGAATACCATAGGATCTTGAGTTCAAAGGGCGATGATAGAACAGGGAAGAGGAGGAACATCCAAATATTGATGATCCAGGTACTGAAGTAATTAAGGAAGTTAAAGATGCATCAGATGTTAGTGGAAGATGGCCACAGGTCCTGAAGTGAGGTTCAGTGTGTACTACAGTTTGATGGTACAGTGTGCATAGATTTTTAGAATCAGGCAACCTGGGATCAAATCCGAATTCTTCACCAGGTCTGTGGCCCTGAGGAAAATTAATTTCACTGTTTTGTGCCTTGTTTCCTCATCTCTAAATGGGAATAAAAGTATGTGCTTCATGGAATATAAAGGGAATTAATTTTTCTCATCTCTAAATGGGAATAAAAGTAGTATCTGCTTCATAGAATATAAAGAGAATTAATCCATAAATGCTGGGTGTGATGGCACACGTCTGTAACCTCAGGGGATTGCCATGAATTTGAGGCCAGCTGGGACTACATAGTGAGACCCTGTCGCCAAAACAAAAACAAAAACAAAAACCCCAAAATATAGGGTTCTTTGACATGAAAGTTAGCTGTACTAATAATTGCTTTGTCTGTGTGTTAACTATTATTAGCAGAAGAAACAGAAAAGATGGCTGAGAAGTATGATGAAACACTGCTTTTTTGCCTTGTGAATCTTAGAAATAAAGTCAGGATTGGAAGGGAATTCCCTCCAGGAGGTCAGGTTTCATAAAGAGAATGGGTAGAGGTATTGGTTTTAGAAACACTAGAAGTTTTTGAATAACTTATGTCTAAATGGTGGCTTTGTATTGTGTTATCTTAGAACAAATCTCTTGGAAGTTAGTGAGCCTTTAAGAATGGGACAGGATGATTACAGTGGTAGGTACTTCATTCTAGAATGACAGTCATGGAGCACGGGGATGGAGGAAGCGGGACTTTTGAGGAGTGTGTAGTTTCAGAGCAGTGGTGATGGACCTGTGGCATGCATGTTATTGTGTTTTTCTTTTATTACAAAAGATATTAATGTATGATTTTTTTTCTAAACTAAGACCTAAGTATGTAGGTTTAATTGCAGCATCAGCATCTTGCAGTGAGTAAGTTATGGGTTGCAGTTCGGGCACTCATCTCTAAAAGGTTCGCCATCACTGTCTTAAAGTGTTTATAAAAGCTAGTTAGCTACTGGCCATATTTTTATATTTATATAATTTTAAAGGAAGCATTTATAAAGTTTATGAAAATGCGTTTAGAAACTTTTGGAAGTAGAATGCACTGTTTTCTACATTTGCTGAGCAGTACTGTAGAAACTCTGATTTTTACATCTACTGAACAGTGCTGTAGAAACTGTTTTCAGCCGCTGTTCTAGGTGCTGGGATTGCTGTAGTGAGCAAAACAGGAAAATCTGCCTCGTGAATGTTTTATATATTTTCTTAACTACATGTGGCACTTTATTGTGATTTGAAATCTGTGGTACTGTGAGTGTTTCTGGGAAGATTTTCTTCCTTCCCTTATAAATATGTACTCAATACCTTTGTGCCAATAATGGAACTACAGAGATCAAGTTAGATATGATTCCTGCCCTAACAAACTGGTGGAGAAAAAGGAAATGAAATCAGCAGCTATAGGTAGTGTGATAAAGGTCCAGTGTTCTAGAGCACGTAGATTTTGAGGGTTACAGACTGTTTTCCTCCTCAAGACTGGAACTGGAAGAGAAAGTAGAATTAATTAAATGAGAGGTGGGGGTAGTTATAGAGACTTTCTGGCAGAGAATGCAACATATTTAAAGTAATTTTCAGGCTGCAATGTAGACTGAGGTATTGGGTTTGAAGAAAGGTAAGCAGAACTTGGGCTTGAAGGACTTTCAGAAATATGCTCTGATAGAGTCTCTGTACTTGTAAGTGCAATGGGATTTATTCAAGGAGTTTAAAAAAATTCCAGGTTTATGTATTAAAAAGATAATTCGTAGGAACATAGTGAATCGATAATTCATAGGAACATAGAGAGTGAATTGGGTTCAAGATAAGAGGCTTTTGAAACATGCAGCTATAGATTTTGGCAGTTAAGCCTTGGTCGGATAAAGGACTTCTTTTTGGATGCTGAAGAAGAGGGGACTTGCTCGTGAGAAATTAAGAAAAAGTCGAAGGATGTAACCCATGTTTGTGGCTTTGCAGTTGGGGACATGGTTTTAATCATTAAGATGGGGGATGCAGGAGGAGGAGGAGCAGTTTTTAATAGGGTGAAGTACTTGTTTGGGGGACTGGTTGAGTCTGAATCAGCTTTGAAATGTCTTGGTGATATAGGAGGAGGAATAGTTTTAATAGGATGAAATATTGTTTTTGGGGTTTGTTAAGTCTGAATCATCTTTGAAATGTCTAAATGAAAATGTAAATGAGAGAATGGAGATACATCTAAAGAGAGATTTGGGCTGACAGTAAAGATTTGGTAGGAATCTCTATGTAGATGGAACCTGAAGGAATGGGAGAAGACAGGGGAGAGAGTAGGGGTTGGGAAGAGGGTCTAGTGCTGAACCTGGGAGGGAGATGAGCATGCAAAGGACAAAGTCTTAGAGGTAGAGCGAAAAGCAGGAGTGTTGTACAGGTTGAACATCCCTTGTCTGGAAGTGCTTTGAACCATAAGTATTTCAGGTGTTGTAGATTTTTTTATTTTGGACTGTTTGCATTAACTACCAGTTGAACAACTATACTGTTAAAATTGCAGAAATATAAGAATTCAATTATCATTTGTTTGGTCTTTTTTTTTATTTTCTTCCTGTACTGAGGATTGAATGCAAGGCCTTCACACTGAGCTACATCTCCAGCACTTTTTATTTTTTAAGTTGAGTAAGAGTCTTAATTTGCTAAGTTGCCAGTTGAACTTGAATTTGTGATCCTCCTGCTTCAGCTCCCAGAGTGTTGGAATTAGTTGTATGCTGCCACAGCCTTACATTTTAAATGGGGTTGGTTTACTGATCAGAAAGAATAACAGTTAATTTTTAAATAATATTGTGTTATCAAAAATGATGTGTAAAGGCCAAAATTATGTAAAATAAACATTTTCCCATGGTTTACTTTTGATATTTTTATATATAGAATTGTTTGTTTCTTTTCTTGTTATTTTCCTTGTTTCTCATAGAATTAGTACCCGTAAGGCCTTTGAATCTTTTCTTTTCTTTTTATTTGAGCCAGGGTCTCAGCTGGTCTTGAACTCACTAGCCCAGGCTGGCCTTGAACTTGCAGTAATCCTCTTGCCTCAGCCTCCTGAGTGCTGAGATTACAGGTGTGTGCCGCCATGCCAGGATGATATGTCATGAGTATTTTCTTACATGATCAAATAATAAATATGATATTCAGTGGTTACACAGATTAAGACCTATTGTTTCACCATAACTTGTATGTTGGATTCCCTGGGTTTTTTTTTGTATTGTCAGTATTTCTTTAAAAAAATAACATGAGAACTATCCTCATCATCAGTTTTTTTTTTAAAATCAGGGATCTAACTTGGGTCCTTGTGCTTGCCAGGCAGGTGCAGAACCACTGAGCTAAATCCCCAGCCCATCAAATTTTTGTTCATAACAAATTTTTGTCTTATGATACATTTCTAAGGAAGAATTTACTTAAGTCAAAAGAGGAGTAGTGAATATTTGTATTGTTAACAATGTATGAGGATGCCTATTTTATTTCATTATCCATTATTAGAAATTATTCTTTTTATATATTTGTCAATTTAATAACATCTGTTTATTAAAATATTCTGAATGTTTGAATCATTTTAGACCTTTTAATTTTGCTATTGAATGTGTTTTTAAGTCTCTTTTCACTACCAGTTTCTGTCAGGGTGGAGTTGAGGAACGGAGCGGTGTGGGTGAGTGTTAACTCTTCTAGGAGGGAGGAGGACACTACCTTGTTCTAAGGCAATTTGCCAGTTGGCTGAGTTCATTTATTCATTCATTTCTCAGCGTGACTCTATGAAGGAGGGGGAAGGTTTTCCTGAAGATGAGGCGACTGAATCGGAAGAAAACCTTAAATTTGGTGAAAGAGTTGGATGCCTTTCCTAAGGTTCCTCAAAGCTATGTGGAGACCTCGGCCAGTGGGGGTACAGGTGAGTTTTAGTTAAAATTAAAATTCCCACAGTGAGTGTAGCTTCTGAGTTTGCAGAAATGCGGCCCATATAGAACTGTGGCCACGAGGAGGAACCCACAGTGAACTGTACAGTAACTTTGTAGTTAGTCTGTCTGTCCTTATGTCATTGTTTGCTCTGATTTTATTACCAACCGAGTGCCACTAGTGCAGTTAGTGTTTATTAAGATGTTAATGCAGTTTTACTGCTTTGGTGCTCTGCTTATTTGAAATCATACTAGCAAGAGTTTTTATATACAAATGAAATTGAAGTTAGAAGTTATATAATGATGTTGACACTACCTCATTACTATTTTGGTTAAGAGTAAATCAGTATAAACATTATTTAATATTTATTAAATTTTACATTACTGTTGAGAAGTACTGTGAGGTAATAGTGAAAAAGTTAGACTTTAGATGCAGACTTTAGACTGTCTGAATTTACATATCATCTCTAGTCCTTCCATGAAGAGGAAGTTACTCAAATCAGTCTGCCTTAGTTTCTTCTTCCATGAAATCAGGGTATTCATATTTACTTTTTAGGGTTACTGTGTCAAATAAGTTACTATATATAATCTTTAGAGTGTTGGTAGGTACAAATGGAAATATTTGTTAAATAAATAATGTAATATATAGGAAAGTATATGACTAAAAGTAGTACTGTTTTATCTTTCCCCATGAAAGGTTAATAAAATAAAATTTTGTATAAAGTCTACATTTTATTAGATAAAATTATTAACACTTCTAATCCCTAGAGTTAAGCTTCTTATTAATAATAGCATAAGTTCTTGTTGTACAACCCATGTTAAGTATATTTTCTCATAATGTATGATAGTTTTTTCCTGTTTGGTCTTTTATTCATTTTGGCAGATGTATTAGTGAAAGATACCCTTAAAATTGAAGAAATAAAATGCTTTCTCAATTTACAGATGTTTGTGTTCATATTTGTTTTCATTAAAATTTCATTTTTAAGCTGTTTTAGAAAAAAAAATCTATGAAGCATTCTGTAGAAAAACCTTTTACAGTGATTCAAATGGCAGTTATTACTTTTTGCTTGTTATATTCTCACTTAAGATATTTTCTTTTTTACATTTATTTTAATTTTTTATTGTGTTTCTCAAGTTTCTCTAATAGCATTTACCACTATGGCTTTATTAACAATAATGGAATTCTCAGTATATCAAGACACGTGGATGAAGTATGAATATGAAGTAGACAAGGATTTTTCTAGGTAACTTTTTTTCTTCTGGAAATACTTTTATTTATTTATTTTTTAAATTGAGTTTATTGGTACATTTTAGGCATGCAGTACAGTTACATTCATTATTGGGATCTTGTACCTCTACATGACAGGTCTTGGTTCTCATTTTTTCCCCTTGTCCCTGCCCTCTCTTCACCCCCTCCCCTCCCCATTTACAAACACTTTATTTCCATTTTTTCATTTTCTCATATTTTTTTCTTGGAAATACTTTTAGATTCGAGTTGTTTTAAAAATAGCATACTTTTTTTTTTCCCCCAAAATCTGCCTTTTTATACTTGGTTTATTTTAGTTCTGAAGAAATAGTCCTGAAAGATTCTCTTTAACTACATGTGTTAGGTGAAACATTTTAAAATCATTTAAATTCTGGTAAAATTCTATAACAAGTTATCTTATTTAATGTGCACTTTTTAAAAATGAGTTTGGAAAACATGTATTTCCTTAGCCATTGTACGTTGTAGAAATTGTTTGAAACTGTTTATTCTAGGTTTTGAAATACCTCACTGATCTGTGAGTTGAAAAAGTAGGTGGTGTAAAGATATATTACATACACTTATAACTTGATTTTTATGAAGTATAATTTAAAGTTTTTTTTGTTTTGTACCAGAGATCGAACTCTGGACCTTGTGCTTGCGAGTCAGGCAGTGGAACCACTGAGCTAAATCCCCAGCCCCGTAAGATAAATTTTGATAGAAGTAGTTTTAAGTCTAAATTTTTTGAAAATAAAGCACATTAGGGGATAAGATATACTTAACATGTACTCATTTATATGGATTTTTTAAAAGGTAGCAGAAAATAGGTTCTTAATATTAAAATTGCACTACATAGGAAGAAACATTTAATTCTTGAATCAAATTTTGGTTCTGCAATGTACTAACTACATGACTTTAGGGACTCTACTAAATTTTTAAGTCTGCCTGTTTCAGTTTCCTGTTTTGTAAAATGAAAGTACTAAAGATAGTATCTTTCTTGTGGTGTTTATGACAATTAAATTGGCCAGTATTTAAATGTAGCTGTGGGTAAAACATAAAAAAGTTTCAATAGGAAATACAGGATTTAGTTTAGTTGTACCCATTCTGCTACTTATAGTACTTAATTCTGGTATTTGAAACTTAATTTTATTTGAACTAATCAGTTAAAAACAAAGCATTGGTTGAATCTTTTAAAAAGCATGCAAGATTGAAGCATCAGATTTCTTTTTGTTAAAATGTGGCTGTGTTTACCCTGAGTTACACAGACCCATTTTCCAGTATGTTATCTTAGTGGTTGAATGATCTTTCACCAGGCATTTACACTGCCCTAAAGACTGGATTGCTTGAAAAACTAAAGTCTTCCAATCTTATGGCTCCACAGTATAAAGAAGATAATATTACTAAGGCATGTAGCATCATTATATTGATGACAGGAAACTTGTAATTCCTAATTCTTGATTTTGAGAGTTTTACATGCTTAAAGGGAGAATCTATCCAAACTTTATATAAACAAATTAAGACTTTTTTCTCAGCTGCCAAGTGTTTTTGACTCTAGAGTAACTATTATGAAATTAAAGGTAACTATTAAAAATCTGATATCAGAAAGGATTTTGGAATAATCACAAAATGAAGCTCTGCTTTTAAATGTGCCTTTGTTTTAAGCCATAAAATATGCGATCCAAATTCGAACTGGTACATTCTGCTTGAAATCCAAGTTTCTCATTTCTCAGTTGATGTCTGTTCCTCATGCTTTGCTGATTGACAGACTCTGATGTTTACTTTTTATGCCTTTTAGTAAATTGAGAATCAACATAGATATCACTGTTGCCATGAAGTGTCAATGTAAGTACACGTTCATCTTAATGAATCTGTGTGTATTTTAGGGTTCAAAGAGATGCCAATAAAATTAAAAGCCAAAAGTAGAATTTTAACTTTATTTTTCCTTTATAATATTTAAAATTTTTATTTAATAATGTAAATTATTTCGCTGTGGTTTATATTCCTTAAATTTCTTTCCATAAGAAAGAGATTTAGCTTTCACATTAGTACATGTAACTAAAATAAAATTGAAGAAAAATCTTGTCAGAGTTGTAGTTTGAGGATATTCTTTTTTTTCTTTTTGGAGTACTGTTTTCCACCCACATTCGGCAAACATACCTTATTTCACTTTATCACCCTTTACTATACTTTTGCTCTTATGTCTTACCATACAGATCTAGTTCTTTTTAAATGAAGTGACAAGCTACCTTTTTCTCATTTCCTCACTAGCTTCACTTGATTATTTTGCTACAAATGAAAAAATGCCAGTGTGTTATGTAGATTATATTTGAATCAATACTGCTGTCAAGAATGAGGATCCATTTGCATGGACAATATCTTTTAAGTAACTGCTTCAAAAATAGAGACTAAGAACTTATTAGGCAAGGTTTTTTGGTGTGAAATGGTTTTGCAGTTAAGAGATTAAGAGTTTTCAGAACACCTTAAATACGTATTTTTTTCTTTCCATTTTTCCTTAGTGATTTTTAAGAGATAAGGAAATATTTTATATCTAAATTTTGAGTTGGTGCTTAAATTGATTGTCATATTTTGCCTTGAGTGTTTGAATACCATTAAAATTTTAGACTTTTCAGAATAAAATGTCCTATTTGATTTTTTGAAGCCATCAGTACCTTTACTATAAAGGTTTTTTAATCTCTAAAATTCTTGTAATTAATATTTTGTTCAATTATTAAATTCTTGCCACTTTTTGCAAAGCTTTTTAATTTAGTTCAGTTCATGCTTTTTAAAATGAAATTTCGCGTCTGATTTTCTGAGAAAAAAAAATAGAAAAAGCATTATTAAATCTTGGAATAAGATCCATCAAAGCTGTGTAATGCTTCTCCTTTAACTTTCGAACAGATAAGTGGAAGAGGAAAGTAAGACTACATACTTTGTAAATTTTCTGTTAGTCGTTTTAATTTGTTTATGTCAGATACAGTTTGGCTCTAAGCTAGAATATATTCTTATTTTTTTTTAATGCAGATGTTGGAGCAGATGTATTGGATTTAGCAGAAACAATGGTTGCATCTGCAGATGGTCTAGTATATGAACCAGTAAGTTCACGATTTTTGAACTGTATGCTCTGAAGAATTGTAGTCTTGTAGATAGTTTTGTTATTTGCCTTTGGTTTTGTCTGAGTTACTTTTTTTAGGTAACTTTTTTATTATTTCAAAAATAATCCATATTCGTTGTGCAAAATTTAGGTGGAGGGTAAGACAAAAGTTACATCTAATGTAAAGATTTGATACTATTAACATTTTGGTTGAGTCTCTAAAATATGTTTTATAGACTTTTATCAAATTATTAGTACATGTGCTGTACATAATGATTGCATTCATTGTGGCTGTTTTATAACTTTGTTATAGTTTTCTTCTACCTTTTAATTGCCATAGTGTTGAAATTTCCTATTTTTTCTGTTGTTTTGGAAACTTAAGTCTGTTAAAAATATTTGAGCTGGATTTATCTTGTAAGAATGAAGCAATATCTGAGAGAAATGTCATAGGCATCTACTGCTTTTTCCCTCCTTTACATCTCTGAAAGTTTATGAATTACTGATATTCTTTTATTATCTTCAAAGCACAAGCTATACATACATAAGTGATTGTCAGAAAGCATGGTCACATCACAGGGCAGGTAAAGTAATAGCAAGATCTCATCAGAATTAGTTCTAAAGAAACTTGAGAATGAGCATGAGGCCCCAGCTGCTCTGATATGCTAACTTTTGGTTGGTATTGTGGTGCTTATGTTTACACATGCATTCTTGAGTTCTTTTGCTTCTCATTGGTGCCTGTGAGGTGTTCATTAAGCAGGATTACAAAATGATGACTTGAGTTGGTAGGGGAAGAATAGAAGTATTACATTTGTGGGTTTGAGGAAATAAAAGGAAACCCTTAGTCACTTTTGATTACTGAATTAATTATAGCTTTTAACATATATATATGTGTGTGTGTGTGTGTGTGTGTGTATGTGTATCTATACATATTATACACATGTATGTATTTCTGTATACACCTCCCCACCCCACTTTGGTAAACACTTTTAAAATAGAAATTCCTATAGAAAAAGTAACTTTATTGTTGCCGCCCTAACCCTCTCTTTCTGACTTCTATTTTCTCACAAAATTGATTTTATAGTAATTTTATATGAAGTTAGGTGCCTTACAAATTCAGGTACCAAACTACATACTAAACTGTTGTTATCTGTAAATGTGAACCCAGACAATTATTATTAGACATTTTAACATTTGCAGGACATTTAATACTATTTTAAGAAAAAATATTCAAGTGTCACATTATTTTAGTGCTTTTAATTTCTACCATTTTTAGTTTATTTTTATTATTTTATGTAGGGACTTTGGAGATTTCTTTTTCAGCAAGAATATTTGGTGTAATTTTCCTGGACATCAGCATGACTTCCTATGTCTGTCATGGAGTAACCAGTTTTTCCTGTAAATATAGGTTTGGCTGAGGGTAGAATTCCTCATTGCTGCCCAGCAAGAATATGGGCTTTTGATGCTTGACTTTTACACATAATCTGAATTCTTTTTTTTCCTCCAAGCCATTGTGTTTTTTTTGTTTTTTCAAGTAATTGTGTTTTGTGTTAGTATCATTTGATTTTAACTGGTTTGAACTCCTAAAATATCATTTTGTATATATGGTAGATTGCAACTTGCATCTATTTCTTTAAATAGACAACTGTCAGAATATTTTTATTAGTAAAATTTGATGTTATTTTCAATAAACTATTACATTAAAATTTTATAGTTTGATTTACAGAAGATTAAGTCCTGAATGATTGTTTTTAGTAATACTATACATTTTTTTCCTGCTCCAAGAAAATTTTTAAAAATCATGATGTGAAAGTTAAGAGAATTTAGCAGTGCTAGTGATTGTTTTCTTTTATTTCAGGCAATATTTGATCTTTCACCACAGCAAAAAGAGTGGCAGAGGTAATGAGAAAGTATTATTGTCTTTTGAAATCTAGATCATGTTTTTTTCTGATAGAACCTAGCTATAGATTGATATTTCTCTGCATAAATTATTAGCAGAATTTAGTATATAATGTTACCCTTTAACAATTTAAAGACTGACAGATCTTAGGAAATTTGTGCATAATCTTTTTTATAATGTACTTTAAATCATAAATAAATTTTGTATTTGAAATTTAATTCAAAAAGTAATGTGAACATTGCTTAAAATTCAATTTGAGTAGAAAGGATATAATAGAAAAATAAAAGACTCTCATTCTGGAAACTAGTACCTGATTATGATTGGTAGTAATAGCTAAAGATAAGTTTCTTATGTAGCTTTCTAGAAATTTTCTCTACATAAATAATTTCTGTGTTTACAAATATGCTTATCTTTTATTTTTCATAATACAAATGAGAACATTCCATACATTTGTTCTGTAACTTGCTTTTTTCCACCTAACATGGTATCTTCAAGTCCATTCGGTGGGTAGACTATAGTGTATAAAAATGATACTCAGGGGCCGGGGATTTAGCTCAGAGCTTCTGCCACCTGCCTCATAAGGCACAAGGGCCTGAGTTCCATCCCCTGTACCACCCCCCCAAAAAAAATCATGCTCAGTAAACATTCCCAAGTCTGGTTTATTTTGTGTGTGTGTTAATGTGTATGTAAACATTTTCCAGAAATGAAATTTCTCTTTGTGAAAAAACTTAACATTTGATATATATAACACTGTATAGCCTCCCAAAATAGTGTTTTCCTTATATAATACTTCAAAACTATGAGGGGGCTTCTTTCTGTGTAATCTCACTAAAAATAAATATAACCAGACTTAAAATTTTTTTTTCCCAGTTTGATGGGTGAAAATTGGTATTGTACTTGTTTTTATTTGCATTTCTTTATGAATAAAAGGATTATCTTTGTGAATTCTTTTCCTCACTGCTTTTTCTTTTCTCTGTCTCGTGCTCGCTTACTTGCTTGCTTGCTTTCTCCTTTCTTTCTGAAACTACTTTACCTGGTCATGTTCTTGGTTGGTTTATTTTCATACCTTTTAAGAACCTTTTGTATATTTAAGAAATGTGTCCTTTATTGTATGTACTTTTCTTACTCCCCCCCCCTTTAGTTCCTGGGCTGTGTTCTGCACTTAAAAAGGCATTACCTAATTAAAGATTATTACAAAAATTTATTTTTAGCCATTTTGTTTTCTAGTCCTCAGTTACATTTTAAGGGTAAATGCACTTTAATTTCCAACTTCACCATGTATGAGAATTTTAATATGAAAGTAGAAATTGATTGTGATTGTACAAAAGAAATGAATATTAGGTATCCCGATACTTCTAGCATTTGTAGTAGAAAGCCATCCAGGAAGGAAATACTGTACTCTGATCCAGAAATACTAAGGTGAAGCCTCTACTTTAATCTGGAATTTTGTGTTCAGTATTCAAGGCTAGTAATATGTAGGAGCAGAAAGTGCATGCTTTTGTTAAGGTGACCAAAGTTTTCCTTCACGTTTGAATTTTCTACATACCTTCCTGTTAGGGATATAGATTCTCATATTGTTTGACACATTCCAGGCAGAAGTTATACACACACACACACACACACACACACACACACACACACACACACACTTTGGTGTTATCAGACTATGACCACTGCCTGGCATCACAAGTTGAACTCTGAAAATACAAGACATAAATAGGAAAAGCTTTCTATTTCTGCTGGGCTTAGATCCAAAGATTTTAAGTATTTAAATCTTAAAATCTGAAGATGAGATGTGGCTTCTTAAAGCTTCTTGAGTTATCATGTTCTACTTCTAAACAAATACTCTTTAATAGTTCATAAATAACCTAGAGAAACCTTTGTGAACAATGTACATATCAAGATGCTCTTCACTTTTAGAATTTGCTAAGAGATTTAAATTTTATCTCAGTTGGTATTCTACTTTCTTAAAATATTTAAGATCCAGATTTTCTTTTTATTGAAAAATTTAAACCCTGGACCTGATGTTTCTGCTTTTAATGTCCAGATTTAAGATTTATTCCAAACTAAGTGTATACGATAACTATGACATTAATTTACATAGGTCTGTTTGCCAGAATGGTGCAAAAATATTTTATCTCCCATTTGCATTTCTAGATAATGCTTATTTTATCATTATGGTATAATATGGAGTATTCCAGATTTATATTTGCATTCCTAAAGTCCATGTGTTTGTGTGTAATTTTCTCCCAGTGCATATATTTGTGTGTGTGTGTGTGTGTGTGTGTGTGTGTGTGTGTGTGTGTGTGTAGCCTTTTTTTGGAGTAGTTATAGGTTCACATCAGGAGAGAGTAGGGAATTCCCATATAAACCCCGTTTTATCAGCTTCTTGAGACAGACTGTCCTATTAACTATTATTAATGAACCTGCACTGACACATCATTACCAAAAGTCCAGAGTTTGCATCAGGCTCACTGTTCTTACTCATTCTGTGAACTGATATCTGTGTAATGCATCTATCCACTACTGCAGTGCTATGAAGAACAGTTTTACTGCCTTAAAAATTTCTTGTCCCACCTATTCCTCCCTCTCTCCCTTCTTCCCTATATGTGTAATTTTTATACTTGCTGAGTTTGAACGGATGATTTTAGATACAACAGTATTTAATAACATAAAATTAAAATGTAACTTTTTCAAATTCTTTCTGTAATCCTATATTCTATGTGTTTTTACTCTTTTTAAAATTATAGGAAGAGTATAGTATTTTAGAGTGGTCTTGTCGTAGAAAAGAGTTTAATTCCCTTGAGAATGGGGCCGTTAGGTGATGGTAAGTGTCCTGTGGCTGATTTTGTCAGGAGAATGAGCTGCTCATTGTGTAATCTAGCACTGCAAGTCCATCAAGGCTCAGTAAAGTATGGGGCTTACTTAAATTTTTTTTTATTGAACTTAGGATGCTGCAGCTGATTCAAAGTAGGCTTCAAGAAGAACATTCACTTCAAGATGTGATTTTTAAAAGTGCTTTTAAAAGTGCATCAACAGCACTTCCACCAAGGTGAGTGGTAGATTTTAAATATGTGGCTGCTTTCTCTGTGTACTATGAATTTGATGTAGTTTAGTGTTGGTTTAGTTTTTTGCATTTTAGAGGAAATAGAATCATTCTGCATGATACCTGTGCCTTTTACTCTTAAATTTATAGCTAATAAATTTGATTGGGGCTGCCACAATTGTATTATTTCATTTTCATTTAATTTATGTGTGTGGTATGCCTTCAAATAAATTAACACTATGTTTTAAGACCAAATTGGTTGCATTTATTATGAGGATATATGGTATAACTTTTGGTTAAGAATTTTCTTCTCTTTTATAGGTTAGAATAACTGATATTTGGAAATGTTACAAATACGAAGATGATACTTTAAAAATGTAGATTTTACGTTTCCTTGGAAAATGTCATCATTTTTTAAACTCAGACAGCATGCCCTTTTCTTACCTCCATTTTATTCCCATCCTGTCCTTCCTCCTGCATTACCAGAAATAGATGAAGAAAGCATATTTTGTTTTAATTTTCCTTCTGTCATTGGAGTTAGTCCTCTGGTTAGATTTGAAGAACCACAGAATATTAGATTTATGTAAATATAGCACATATGTAAAAATTAGGTAATTTCCATTTTTTTTAATGTATGATTTTATAACTATATAGGTCCCAGGAAACTGCTACACTAGTTTTCACATTTAGGATATTACCTAAAAATTTATGTTTAGGGACTCCCCCTATCTTTCTCATGTAGTTTTTTCACAACAAAATTGTAGGTATATTGACAATGTTTTAAGTAATTTAAAATATCTTATTTTAATAGGGAGGATGATTCATCACAGTCTCCAGATGCGTGCAGAATTCGTGGTCACCTCTATGTTAATAAAGTTGCTGGGAATTTTCATATAACTGTGGGCAAGTATGTTCTTGTTTCTTACTGAAAATGCTTTAGACAAGATTGCTCTTAGTTAAAAGTAAGTTTTTGATCAGATAATATTATAGGTAACTACTAAAGGCCTGCTAAGATATTGTGTATTTGTATCTTCAGATTGATGTTTGGCACTTCAGCTCAGGACAGACGTGAACACTAACTTAAAGCACACATAAGGCAGTCGTGTCATATTTTACAAGTTAAAGTAGATGAAGTCTGGGCAAATATTAAGACTTACTCTTTGCTAAGTTTTAGTAGTTGGTTAGGGCCAAGTAGACATTTCATTAATTTGCCTTGTTGGTGTGTTACTAGTTTCTGTTTCGCCTAGTTGTGTTTAGCCTCTTGGTAGTTCTCAACAAAAGGCAGGGCCTGGCATATTCTAGATAAGGATTTTGATGTAGTTAGAAATTAGCAGGATCTGGAATAAAGTTAATTCAGGGACAAGTGAAGGAAAAATATCCTATCATACCAATCTTTATTTGTAGCAAAGGAATTGTCAATAAAGGCTCGGTAAACTTCAAAATGAATAAATAGAGTACATCCTGTCCTCCCTTCCTCTCTTTCACATGGAAATGCTGAGCTAAAAAGTTCTTCATTGTCTAAGGCATTGTTTGGGTACCTGCCATGTGTGAAGTAGCAGGCTAGATACTAAGGGTAAAACAGTGGAAAACAGAAGAGGGACTTTTGCCTTTAATGCTGACATTCTATAAGAGAATCCAAACTTTAACAGTAAATAATAATTATTAAATATGACTATATTGATGCTGTAAAGGAGATTTATGGTTGATAAGAGATTATGTGTCAGGGTACTTGACCTAATCTACTAGTCAGCAGAGACTTTATTGGCGAAAACCTCTGAACATTATTTAAGAATACGAATTTAATATAGAGGAGGAAAAGGGCCTAAATCAGGAGAAAACGTGGCTGGAGAGTTTTTATAAAGAGATAACAGACTTTTATAAAAGTGTATTTCAGTGTTACAATGATCAGATCAGATTTTTTTTTCCTGTTGTACTCTTCCTGCAAATTTAGGATGGTTGTTTGGTCACTATTCTCAGGATGCATTCTGCCCATTCTCAGTCTTGCTGAGAACCTTGGAATTGTAGGAGTAATAAATAATAGTCGGCTCAAAGAAATACAGAAGATTTTATTTGTTATACTTTTACATACAAATAGTATCCTACTCCAAGAGGGAAACTGACAAAATATTGTATGTTATGTCCCCCTTTCTAGTTTTACTTCTTGCCCCAGGTGATAGTTTATGCTGTCAATAAGAGGCCAAATGGAGAAGCACTTGGTTTATAGCTCATCTACCTAGAGGTACCCTGTAAACCCACCACTAATGTTTTGTTCTTAGATTTGTCAAGTTCAGTATTGATCATTTTGAAAATTTCATATTAGTTCTCAAACACAGTGCCCTTCCCAACTGTGATATAAGAGTAAAAGAACACAATTTATAATAGTATTTTAATTTACAAATACTTGTATGTGCATCACTAGAAAACATAAGGAAATAGAAAAATGCTTGCCACTTACATGTAGAAGCATTAGCATACCAAAACAGATGTAATTGCCTCTCAAATACCATAAATAGAATCTCTGTTGATGAGATGAAAATCTGAAATAGTGAACAACTCTTTAATACTGTGAAGAAAACAATATCTTAATTTTATAGGAAATTTAGCATATATTGAAACTGCCACAAGTGTAGCTAAGATCTAAATTCATATGATTGTAAATAGGGTCTTCACATATGTACAGGAACATTTTTTAGAGCACTTGAAAGTAAGATGTGGAGCATTTCTCTTTTGTGAGACTGTTGATGTCTTTGCAGGATGATTTGTTTCTCTGACCCTGGTTCTCAAATACCAGTAGCAACCCCTTTTCAATAATTCTTACAGCAAAATACCTGTCCCCCACCCCTACGATTTTCAGAATATGTTTTGTACTGTAAAATCACTTGGACTAGAATTCTTATTTGATGGGATAGAAAATATAAAATGCCAGAAAAGAAATAGCTAAGTTATGAGAATATAGCTTCCCTACATAGAGCTTTTACAGATTTCAAAGGACTGCAGTTATCTGTACTGGGGTAATTTAATTGGATTTTTAGTTTTTAGTTTTTTAAAGGGAGATGCTTACTTATACTATTATTTCATAAATTTCCAAGTGTGTTTTAACAAAAAAAGAGAGAAAAGAAGGTACAATTTAAAATAGATCTCTGTTCCTCTTGGAATACATACATTTCCATGTAGTGCAAGAGACCATTGAAGTCAGACATAGTTTTGTAACTTGATTCATCAAAATAACTAGTGGGAATACTGTTGGAATAATGATGTCAGTGGGGACTGGAAAAACTTTTGACAGTAGATTTTCTTTTTAGTAGTGAGTTTGCGGTAATAATTTCTTCTGAACACAATTATAGGAGATGCTTTGCTGCATAAAATTTTAGTAAACGTCATGTTAGATGTTAACGTATTTCCCTAACCCAGCTCAAGACCAGTGGTCAGAAAAATTTTAACAATGTAAAAGAAAATATTTAGTAGAATTTCTTCATGAAAATAAGGTTGCAGTCAAAATTGTTTTCTAATTGGTTAGCCAAATAAGAAAAGCCGTGTACTAGTAAGTCAGTGAAATCATGTTTGATTGCAGAAGCTGAAGAAGTGTATTCAGAGGAAATAATATTTTTTAGGTAATTGGCCTTACATGACTGGGAGGATACAGTGGCCAATTGAAATGAAAGGCAGGGGCCTCAGAGTGTATCTTAAGCTGATGATTAGGTAAATATTAACAATACTGTTTTTGTTGGAGGACTCTATGCTCAGTTTAAAACTATTAAAGAATTATGTCTGAATAGCCTGCATGGGACCACTTAACAAAGAATATTTTTAAGGACAGTTTTAGGATTCAACCTAAAGTGGGGTCTGCTAAGATGTGTTGCAACTGATGGAGCAGAAAAAGGCTACGTGAATAAATTTTCAAGCCTTATGAAATTGTAAAAAAGTTTTTAAAGTCTTTGGTTAACCATTTATCATCAGCAGTACTTTGCAGAAAGTACTTGAATTTACTGTGTATCTTGAATGGTAATAGTGAACATTTTGTCTCATGAACTTGAATATTGTCATTTCTGTGAATTTTAGTTAACAGAGGCTGACATTTCCAACTTGACATAATACATAGCAGCTTGATGCCTTAGCAGTGGCAAGAGTTTTATTTTATTTTTTTAGCTTAATGCCAAGATGGAAATTTTTCAGAATGAGTAAATACTAGCTACTGCTTTCATTAAACACTAAAAAGCTTTGAAAATTAAGTTTTGTGCACACTCAAACACATTAATGTTTCTTAATGAATTTAACCTAAAATTAATTATAAGGCAAGACCAAACTTCTTATGGTAAAGCTATTTCTATAACAAGTAATGTTAATGATTTTGAGTGGTTTCCTTTATTTATAATGCGTTGACAGCTTTGTTGTTGAAAATTAAAATAGGAATCAAGATCTCTATTTTCATATTTGAATTTATGTTCTTATCTCAAACTGTAGTTCCAAAAAATGTTTTCTAACCTTTATGAAAGTGCAAACAAAATTTCCATGTTTCAAAATCTGTTTAACAGTGCAATTGAGAGTTATTAATCCAGAATATAACAACATGCTTAGGTCAAATACTAAGAAAAAAATCTAAATGTTCTTTTAAAAATGTTTCTTAATCAATTAATATGCACTGTTCAGATGTGCTTATGGTTGTTTTTCAAAGATGAAATATGTAAAATTTCATTGCAGATCACCATTAACAGATAAACATTTGTAGTTAACTTTGACATAGGAACACTGTTTCTAAATTTCACTAAGCAAAATGTAGTTTCCCATCAAAATACTAATACGGGAGTTCTCAATTATTACTATTTTGAATTTCATCAATAAAAGTTTGTGACAATTTGTGTCCTTTTTATGTAAGTAACTGTATAATATCTTTGATTTTCAATGTTGGCCTACAAAGCCTAAAACATTTACAGTGTAACTCTTTACAGACAGAATTTGCAACCCCCAGTTTGTTTCATTGCTTAGGTTATAAGACTTGTCTACTTCATCATAGGCCAGATATTAGTGTGCACCACGGTTGTACAGCTTAGGAAGGATTCACTTTCTGATGATGGATATTTATACGTTTAAGTGTTCTTTCTTTAATATTGTGCTCCTCTTTCCAGGGCAATTCCACATCCTCGAGGCCACGCACATTTGGCGGCACTTGTCAACCATGACTGTAAGAAATTTTGAAAGTTTTTTTAGTGTAGATATCCTTAAAGAAAAAACAAGTGGGGTCTTTAGTGCAGGTGCACGGTAGGGCTTGGAAAATAGGGTGTCAAAAGGTATTCAATGAAGAAAATATAATACTGCATTTATTGACTAATCCATTTCCCATTATCTTTATGCTCCTTCTATTTCTTTTGTTCCTAGTGTAGATGTTGTTAGCGTTAGGGAGGTTGGTATATTTATATCTCTTTAAACAGTTCAGTTAATTTTTATAGACGATGGAGAGAATATATTTGAAGTTTATTTCAATTTGTAAATCTAAACATGGACATATCCACACATACAAAATTTTTGGTGTAATAATTGTTATGAGACTTATTTCTACATCTGTAGAGCAAAGAGTAAGAAATTATTAAAAATCATTTTGGTCAGAGCAATGCTATTTATTAAAAATATATGTGATCAGCTTCATTATTTGGTTATAGAAACATCATTGCAGTTGTACTAACAAGACCTATGTCTAGATGAAGTTTGGGATCAGGAAACATGTATTTTAAGGCTGTCTGATTAAATGTAATATTTCTTAACAGTTAATTTGTATGCAATTATAAAGTTTGAGACACAGCATTTTATGAGAATTTACTTATTCTCAGGGCCAAGGACTTAGCTCAGTGGTTCCACCACCTGCCTCGCAAGTGCAAGGTCCTGAGTTCAATCTCTAGTACCAAAAAAAAAAAAAAAAAAAAAAATTTACTTATTCTCAAACATTCCTTATTAATATGCATCTTTTTACCACATTGAGTTACTGTATTATACCTGCAGAATATAGATTTGAGAATAGATAATATGTAGTTTTAAATAATATAATTTTTGTACTTAGTTGGTTTTCTTTTTTCTTTTTAGCTTACAACTTTTCTCACAGAATAGATCATTTGTCTTTTGGAGAGCTTGTTCCAGGAATTATTAATCCTTTAGATGGAACTGAAAAAATTGCTATGGATCGTAAGTATTCAGTAATTACTCTAGGATGTACATGCTGGAAATTCTAAACCTTATTATTAGTATATTTTAAATAATCTTCCTAACCTTGTAAAGGTGATCTATAAGTGATTGATGAATTAAATATGGTGAATGAAATTTGAATGTTAAAAAACAAGTTATAGAATAGAATAAAAAAGAATTAAAGATAGGCAAGAGAAATAGAATTTAAGTAAATATTCTAAATGTATGAAAGGTTGATGTGTTAATAGGGCATAACTGCATTTGCTTTTATTCACTAAAGAATTAAAAGAAAGTATTAATATTGTGGAAAAACTTATTCTGTTTAGGTTCCAATTTCTAAAATGCATATAACACTGTTTTAGAAACCTCTTTGGAGAATTTTACAAGCATAAGAAACCTAGAGTTACTCCAAAGTAGCTTAGTTATTATTAATACAGTTATATAGCATTTTTTGTGTTTTTTTAACCTACTTCAATTAAAGAGTTAAATCCTTTCATATATGAAAGGATTATTTTGTACATTTTGTTTCAAGTAATCTTTCTCATGTTTTCTAAAGATTTTTGATTGCCATCAATCTCCTTAAATAGTCAGTGTGTGGCTTACCCTATCTCATGGGCTATCAAGGATATCTAAAGCTTCCAAAGTTCCCAGGAACTCTTAACTTCTATAGGGCTATGAGTGTAATTTTCATTAAGTGGATGTATTATTGTCAGGATTATTATTCTCTTTTTTAGCGTAGTATTAGATACATTAAAGATATTTGACTTCAAATACTGGTTCACATTCATGAGTATTTTGAATTAGCATGAGAATGTTTCACTTAAGGAAAATTTATGTAGTAAATTTGGAAATGTGTGATTAAAAACATCTTGTGAATTATAAACTTTATTCAGTATAATCTTGTCTGAAATCTTAAGTATATGTTTATTCTATGTTGACTGCCGTACAGGCTAAAGGATGCTCATTTGAAAACATACTGGTCAGTTTTACTTGAAAATACTAGTATGAACTATAAATTTTTATAGACACATTCTTCTAACTATAAACAGGTTAATTTTCAAAAGGTTGTTGTTAAATCCACCTGATGCTGAATTCAGAGAGACCAAGAGTTATATTATGAAATTACCCCTGGCAATTGTAAGTGGGTTACTCAGAAGTTTAAAGCAGATGTTCTCTTTTTCCTCCTGTATGTTCTGTTGCACCTCTTCCTGGAAAACAAAATGAAAAACATAGTTACAAATCTGAGGCATCAAGTGATCACCCTCTGCTTGATGTTCTGCAGAAGTATTCTAGTGCCCTACATGTCCTTAATGCTGTGTAGATTGGAAGGTCTGCAACCTTTGGAACAGTCTGTGACTTGAAACTAAAATTCAGCATTTTTATCTTTCTTGCCTTGTAAGCTCTTCAACAGAATTTTCCTGATTTAAGTTAAACAAATCTTGAGCCATCCTCTGACCACAGCTTAAGAGATTTTCATTTTTCCCTTCGTATTTCTTTGATCTTCACTGGTCATTTTTTATTACTTCCGCAGTTTGCTCTATGTGCACAGTACTGTGATTCTCCTTGACCTCCACACTCTCCTCGTCTAATTATTACACCCATATGAACAACTTTGGTTAATGCAATGCGGTGCCATTCTCAGTTGTATCTTTTTTCATAAATTATGCTTGAGCCTTTTTTCCCTAATATTTTCAGCTCTGTTTATGACTTGATAAAACTGATTTGTAAAACACCTAAAACTAAGCACAGATTAAGTAGTTCAACTCACTTCAAGAACAACTTAAAGACCTTCCTCAATTTATAAGGTGACCCAACTCTAAGTAAAAGTAATCTGTGATGCTAAAAGGCAGGTCAGTGGTTGGAGTAGTACCATAGGGAGAGGGGTTTGATTGCCAAGGGCATGAAGAAACTTACCAAGGTTTTGAAAATCTTTTTAATTTTGCTCTGGTGGTGGTAAAATGGGTGGAGGCATTTGTCATTTTTAAAATCAAACATTAAAATTGGTGCATTATATTACATACAAAGTTGATTATTTTTAAAGGTTCATATGTCCAAAAACTATTTTAAGAACACCTTGTATGTATTAGTTTCTGTTGGAGCCATCAAGGACCCGGTTGGTAATTCATATAGACATAGTCCTTGCTTTTCATAGAGTACATTTTAATGAGGAATGAGATAGTCTGTTGACATGAAGGTAGTGGTAAGTGTTAGGACAGGTGGCTGAGAAGAAGATGTAGGAGATCACTTGTGATAGGAGAAAGGAAGTAGAAAGTCTGTGGTACTTGAAAAAGATTATTTGAGTGAAGTAAGCCAGGTCTCTTGAGAGTATTGTAGGCAGCTTTATTATTAATTATTAAGAAGAAGAAAAATCTGTATTTGCTACCACAGTTGGATAGCCTGTCACATGACCAGCCAGCAGGGACAAGACCCATGTTGTGGAGGTGGATGTGTATGTATTCTGCAGAAAGTCCAGCTGGGGAGAATCAGTGCAGGCTGTCTGGCCGAGTGGCTTAGGCATACATGATCACTTTCCCATGCTTGCCAGTTGAATTATCTCTTCTCCCAGTGAGGGGGAAATGCAGAGGAGAGCCAGAGAGATTTCTTTCTTTTTGAAGGGGTCCAAGTTTTCATTCTCAGTAGAAAATACAGGAAGATTTTTTTTCTTTAAATGGAAGACCTTGGTCTCTCTATGAAACTGCCTCAATCACTCAGTAACTTTGGGCATCTTTCTTACCATTCCTGTACTGTTTGCTTATTTCTTTGAAAAGGATAATAATAAGATCTTCTCCATAGGATTGCTGTAGGGGCAGGAAATGTAGTTTAGTGGCACAGCACCTGCCTGGCAGGCAAGAGTCCTGAGTTTGATCCTTGGTACCAAAAAAAGATTATATAAATAAATGGCTTAAAACAGTGAATGGTATGCCGTAAATGGTTGTTAATTGTTTGATTCAACAGATTTCAGAACATTTACTATGTGCCAGGCACTGTTCTAGAGGCCTGACATTAAAAATGATGTTCCCACACTAAATTAGAACTTATGTATATTCTAATGAGAGTACAAGTAAATATGATACCTGCATCAGGTACTGTTGGAGCTCACTGAGCTCTTAGCAGTTAGAAAACCTAGCAGTCTAGAGGTCTCAGGCTCAAGCTCACAAGCCAGAATCAAGTACTGCTGCAGTAATGCTGCATAGCAAATCCTAAGGCTTAATAAAAACACCTTTATTCTTCTCTTTTGGGGGTAGCTGCAGGAGTGTGTGACTTACATTCTCTTGCCAGAGTGACTATGTGAGACATCTTTGCTTGTAGCAGATGGTAGTGTGAGAGCACTCTGTGCAGATGCACCTGACGTGGAGGACCCCAAAGCAAGACACTAGAGGAGCCTGAAATTAATGAGCAGAGAAGCGATCTCTGCTCATGGTGAGGCACAGCAGTGAAGAGGCAAGGAGAATTGTGAGCAGATGGCACAGCTTACTGCAGCTTTCATTCTTGGTCAGAATGATTCTTTTCTGCACATACAGTACATTTCACCCCTGAAGTAATTCTTCAGCCATGGCACAAGACTTGATCTGTATCAGATCTGAATGACATTTCTCTTAATCTGGAGACCTGCAAACTAGACGGTTTCTCTGCCCCCCCAACCCCGTTACACTATAGGAGCATATACTGTGTAAATATACTAAGTTTTCTCTGAAAACAGGAAAGAAGGAATGGTGTATAGTCAGCGTCACAGTGATTTTGAAACTCCACCTGGACAGATGTGACATTGCCTATTGGGCATGGGAATGTACCTCGCTTATGTCCTGTCTGCTCCTGGGTAGAGCTCTCTTTTACCCCCGTCCCCCACTACAGGTCCTCTCTGTGGAACATAGCTTTATCCTCTGAAAAGTAGGCCTGCTTTCCTGTACTCTGTTGGCCATATCTGACTGAGCCACTGGAGAGTATACCTTTCTAAGAACTAAACTCTTATTCCGCATCCAGTTTTTAGAAAAGTTGGAGGCTCATGTGCTTTTAAATTTCCAACTTAAACTCAGTTTATTAATGTGTGGTCAGAAGCTTTGTTGGATCTTAAATGTATTTTCATCTAGCTCCACGTTCCAGAAATCAAGGAATTTTTACAAGATGTGCCTCATCCTTGGCTTGAGTCTGGCTAGGGTCTCTGGCCCCGCTGGGCTTCCTTCTTGCGTTATCTCACTGGTCTGTGCCAGTGGAGAAGGGAGGTGGATTCCGCTGTCCGTAAGCCTTGGCAAATACAGAGGGAGGAAATGTGAACAGATAGTAATACAATAATACAGTCTTTCATAGCCCTCAGTTGTTTCAGACATATTTTGTTTAGTTTTTGTTTTATTTGTCATTACATTAAATTTTATAAAATTTATAATCCGGTTCCTGATTTGTGGATTTTAATTTTAATTGTGCTGTTAATTTTGCAAAGAGATAACTACCTGCCCGTGTAGGTGGGCCGTCCTCTGTCCAGTTTGTCACAGACGCCATCACATCTGCATGCTTGTTGAGAAAATTAGAAATTGTGGTTAATTGACTTACCTAGCATTGGGAAACTAGTTCTTTGGAAAACTGTAATTAAGCTTACTAAGTTTGTGCTTATTTTATAAAAGGATCTGCTACAGGGTTCCAGTAGTATATAGAATTTTCTTAGGCAGTAATCTCATCTGGTCTGTATTGGAATGGCTGGGGTCTGTGGAAATTCATCCTTGTGATTAGTAGATTTGGTCGGGGAAGAGGCAGGCATAGATTTCCTGGTGAAAAGAGGCTTTCTGGGTGGCTCCTTAAACATTTTTAAAACTCTGTAATAAATAATTTGAAATTGTTGTATTTACATACACTTTCAGCGATGAGTGCCATGTTGTGTGAAGTAGATGTTTTCAGTTTAAATGTAATGATGTCCATTGCTTTAAACTTACAGACTCATCTAATTCGAATGGCTTTAGAATATAGACTTAGAGAATGAATAAATTTTACATTATGTGATCTGTTATTTGCTAAAATTAATTGGTAATATGTTGCTATTTGTACCTTGTATTAAACCTAGAGCAGCCTCAGTACTATAAAATTAATGTTGACTTTTCATGCTTTAGGTATATTTTTGTTGATAGATTTTTCAGTTCTCTGCTATTTTTACCATAACAGTTCATTTAAATTTCCTTCATGCTAACTTCATCTGTGTGATTGAAATAAAACTACAGTATATATTTTAAAATGAGCCTTTTGGGGCTGGGGATTTAGCTCAGTGGTTCGGTGGCCTGCCTTGCAAGCGCAAGGACCCAAGTTCAATCCCCGGTACCAAAAAAAAAAAAAAAAAAACTTTTGATTGCATGGTAATCATTGCGTTGTTTAGTTATCTTTCTGCTCTAGTATCAGTTCCTTATTCAAAGTTGGCTACTTCAGTTTTGGTTCATTAGTATAGCTTAAGATAGTAGAAGCTGGAAATTGTGGTTATACTGTGGTAATTGTAAACAACTTTTATTAGTCTCGGTACCACAGAGAAATGCTACCTTAATTTTCCATGTTTCATGTGTGGGTGATAATGGATTATATGGGCTAGCTAAATCACTAGTTCATCTCTTTTACATCTTATGTGTGTGCCTCTGTATTTGTGTGTGTTGACTATGAACTTGGTTTACCAGGTATAAATGTATTACTTTCATTGGCTCTTTCTTCTGAATTGTTTTTATTTCAGTTGGGAAATTAAGTTAAATGTAATAATGGATTTTAAGTTAAATGTATTTAATCAAAAGATGTATTTGGTAGTAGTTTTGTTGCTACTAGATTGATGAAAAAATACATTTTGTTTTTGTTTTAGACAACCAAATGTTCCAATATTTTATTACAGTTGTGCCAACAAAATTACATACATATAAAATTTCAGCAGACACACATCAGTTTTCTGTGACAGAAAGGGTAAGTTGAAAGTAATTGGTAAAAGAATTTTTCGTGTTTTTGTTAGCATTTTACAGTCTTCTGGGTACAAGATAAAATTGGGATTTTAATTGGTGCCTTTCTCCATTTTAAAATTTGTGAAAGTTTTGAAATGAATTAACATTTTTATTTTAAACCAAGATAATCAGAAATGGATATTTGTGTTTCTGGAGCAAGAAAAGCAGTATTTTTTTAATTCAAGTGTTTTTATTAAATTAAAACAATGTGTTAATTTTGCATTGTATTTTCTCATGTACTGGTCTAGGTGTTCTTAATCTACCAACAAATTTTCTGATTTGTGTTACTTTTTAATAAATGCTCCTAACCAGGTGCTTGTAGATGGCCAGCAGGTTCAGAGAGCGCTGTCCTCCTGCACAGTGCTTTGTGTTCACCTCACAAGTGTTCAGAACCCTCAGGATCAGAGTTGCTGTGTGAATAAATACTGACAGTGAGGGGCAGGGTTTTGTGTAACAGATTAATCTGCTCTGGGGTCATATTTTCTTATTTTTGTCTTTAAGCATGGTAAATATTCAAATATTGGTATCCAGAGAATTTCAAGCAGAACTAAAGTGCCTTTTAAAATTTGCTTTCTTCTATATATAGTTTTCTTTTGATGTTCTTTTGTAACTTGCTATGACGAGATCTTCAGTAGTTATAGAATATTCCCTATTCTTCTGAAGTTAGGTATTACTTTTAAGGTCTTTTCAAATGGTTAAGGGAGAAAAAAATAAGTATATGTAACTATATGTATTGGTACATGTATGTGCGTACACATACATACTTTTTAAAAAGCTAGATAAGTATATACAAGAACATACTGTGTGAACATTGTGTAGGGAGATAGAAACACCTGGAAGACAGTGTGCACAGTTGACAAGTCTGGGGAGAACAGTACACACACTGCTGTGGGAATGCTGAATGTCATAGTCTCTGTGGAAGGAGGTTTGGCATTATCCCCAACATGACCTGTGCCTTCACCCTCTGAATCCACAGTCCCTCTTTTCCAGAAGTCCTTTCCCATGTTATAATGGGAAGAGTACAAAAGTGTTGGTATTTATAGAAGACTAGAAATAGCCCATGTTCTGGAAAGTAGAACACACCAAGAATGAGGAAACTTTGTGTATCCTGATCTGAAATTATTTCCACAATATATTTTAAAATAACAAAATTTAAAAGAAAAAAATGTATTAGAATCCCAGAGCACTTGGCCTTTGAAAGAGTGTGTTTTTGTTGATAGAATGACTGAGATCCTAGTGTTTCACTTAAAAAGAAGTGGCATGTTGAGTTGGTAATTTACAGACTAAGGAGCAAGGAGAGAGAGTGCTGACCTTCACTGACCCAGGACCCCAAAGTAAATCATCACTAGCCTTTGTTCTGTAGATAGCCCATTGCTAAAGCAGCTTCTCACCCCACTGCCCTTCTTTAGGAGCGAATCATCAACCATGCTGCAGGCAGCCATGGAGTCTCGGGAATATTTATGAAATACGACCTCAGTTCTCTGATGGTGACAGTTACTGAGGAACATATGCCATTCTGGCAGTTTTTCGTAAGACTATGTGGTATTGTCGGAGGAATCTTCTCAACAACAGGTTAACATTTATTTTTTTATCTATTTTCTTTTTAATTAATTTTATTGGTACATTTAAGGTACACAATATAATGACATTCATCATTGGAAATTTGCACCTTTACATAATACATCTTGGTTATTTTTCCCCATTCCCTGGCCCTCCCTCCAACCCCTTCACCCTTCCCTATCTGCAGAGATTTTGTTTCCATTTTTTTTCTCATATTAATTCCTCTCTAAAAGTGTTCATTACACGAGATGTTTCTACTTATTAGTGGCAAAAATATACATATATAACTGATTGTACAATATTCAGTGATTAAAGGGAGATTATTTGGTGAGCTATAAATATTTTGAGTATGAACAGCAGAAAAAGCTTGGATTGAGTCAGGGTCTGCCATTTACTTGGTTGGTAGCCTTGGATAAGTCACCTCCTTTTACTGGAATTATTTCTCAAGTGTGAAAATTGGACTGACTTGTAAGTGTGTTGTAGAGCTAAGTGAGAAAATGCTGAAAGATGTAAATTTCCTTTTAAGGTGGTTTTAGCTGTGGACTGTGTAAAACTGTGCAGTATGTGAAACCAGATTTTTCAGTGCTCTTGAGTTTTTGGCCAAGATTTTGGAATTCTGTCAAAGATCATTTGCAGCACTGTAGTCAAGAAAATTTGAGTTGAGTACAAAAAAACAAACAAAAAACCCCAAAAAACCACTATTCTAAATTTCTAAGAATTTTCCACACACTTGTAAGTTAGTACAAATTTTACTTTTTCATGTTCAGTTCCTGTTTAGAAGAGTTTTGTCCTTTATATACATTTTTAGAATTTTTTTCATTGAGTTTATTGGTACTTTTTAGGTAGACAATAAAAGTTATATTCATGATTGAGATCTTGTACCTTTACATGACAGATCTTGGTTCTCCTTTTTTCCCTGTACTCCTGCCCTCCCTTCACCTGCTCCACCCTTCCCTATTTACAAAGAAGGTTTAGAATTTTTTGAAACAAATAATTTTTCTTATACAATTGTTACTGTTTCATTTAAATTCACTTAAATATATGTTGTTAATATTTATTTTCAAAATGATACAGGAAGGCCTTGAAAAAACTGTGTCAAGATTATTAATTATGTGACCTTATGTTTTTGAAAAGAAAAAAAATTCATTTTTTTAGCTGTTTGGATTATTGGACGTTTATAATACAAACTACTTTGCTTTCTTCTTTAGTCCTTTATAGTTATTTTTTATTCTTATATAGAAATGTCAAAAATAATTAAAAGCACAAATTTATTGTTTATTACAGGCATGTTACATGGAATTGGAAAATTTATAGTAGAAATAATTTGCTGTCGTTTCAGACTTGGAGCCTATAAACCTGTACATTCTGTAAGTGATATTGTATACATGGTGATGATCTCTAAATAACAGTATCATTAAGTCTAAATAGTTGCTTTTGGTGCCTGGAAAAAAATTTCCCTGAATATAACTGTGTTTAAAGGAAATTGTGTAAAGAATAAAACTAAGACTTTGTTTTTTTCCTCCTCTAGGTCCCCTTTGAAGATGGGCACACAGACAACCACTTACCTCTTTTAGAAAATAATACACATTAGTACCTCCTGTGTGGAGAGAAACTTTTTGCCTGAGACACAAAACCTTTTTTAATAATAAAATATTGTGCAATATATTCAAAGAAAAATATGAATGAGAAACTGAATAACACACTTATTTAAAAAAAAAGAAAAAAGGAAAAAAAAAAAACCCAAACTAAAATCCTGTAAATGTGTCTGTTACAAATGCCCTAGAAGAAATTATGGAGCTAATAATGGAGAGATAAGCCTGTCTGGAGTGTTGTTCAAAGACAACGCCTGCCACTTCCCCAGCAAATGGACTGTCAGAGTCAGACCTTCCTGCTTGGTAACAGAAAGCTCAAGGAAGGAGTGGAGACCACATCTACAGAAAAAGAGCATTGATAAGTGCAAATGTTTGCATCCTTTTGTTTTTAAAAGACATGATGTAAGAATAAAATATGTAAAACATATGGTAAACTAGTCTAGACTTTAAAAACCTGTGATCAGGTCCCATTGTTAATAAAGGAAAACAGGGACTAGTCCCTGTGTTCTAGCCATATTGATGTTAAGCCATATTGACAAGACCATTTATCCAGTACTTGATCTTAGGAAGGGAAATGCTTTTCCTTAAACTCAGGTTACTGGCTTTCTAACTGTTCAAGGTAGGCTCTTCTGGGGTGGTGTGTAAGTGTTATGTGTGTGAGAGTAGTACTTACAGATTGTGTAGTGAAGACTGGATAGAAGAAAGCACATTTCTAAAGCAAGCTGAGTGTCCTCATCTGTCATGTTACTGATACTCTTTGAGGATCATGGGATGAGTAATGAAAAGACCCCCTTTGAGGGAAAGAAATCAGTGTGTGAAATATTAAGAGGAAAAGTAGAATATTTTATACACGTGATGAGTGGGAACAGGGTAACTTTACATGAAATAAAAGTATGAGCCAAATTTTAAATATAAAATAATGTCATCTGAGAAGTGCCATATTACAGTGTCTGTTAAGCTATAAAGCTGAATTATGAAAGTTGCATTCAGGATGTTCTGAATGTGACTGGTGAATTATATTGTGTTGTTTTAATTTTAATAGTGTTTAAGGATTGTGTTTAAATTTCCATAATATAAAAGATTAAAATAATTAGCGGAAACTGCCATTACAAACTGTACTTGGAATACATTTGCCAAAATCAGTTTTCATTTTGTAATATTTAATGATAGTAGAATAATTATCAAGCAATCCCCAAAGTTTAAGTCATTTAGGGAAGTGAAACAAAAATCCAGATTAGACTAAAAGATTTTAGTCTTTAACAAACAAGACCAAACAACTAGATTTAAAATGGCAGTTTTAGAATCAAGTCTGATGATACACACCTGTAATCCCAGCACCATAGGAGGCTGAGGCAGGAGGATCACCATGAGTTTAAACTCATCCTGTACAACTTGATGAGACCTCATATCAAAAAGAAAAAGGTTTGAGCCTCGGTTTTAGTCCTCATTACTGGGAGAAAAAAATCACAATTTAAATGGAAAATTTCTATATAAAAAAATGTTAAAAAAGAAGAGTGCTGGTGGGAAATCAGGACAAAGCTGCTTTGCAGTGAAATTTATGTAGAATAGTGTTTTGCATAAAATAGAAGCATCTTTGTTTAAAATGTCCATTCTCACTGAGGATCGTGTGTTAACTGATTGATCAAGGTGGCATAACATGCCTCAAAGAAGTTATTAATTCAGGAAGCTCAAGGTTCTGAGTCTTCTCTAGGTTTTTTTCTTCAGATATTATTTCCAACAAAGTTGGGATAGAAACTAATAGAATCATCTCTCAAAGGGAGTTTTAATTAAAAAGTATTAGTATTTTAGCTACTTTAGACTGGATGGTGGGTCTTTTAAATTCAGAAGTTCAATTGTTACAGGTTTTTTTAATGGAAGAAAAATAACAATTTAAGAGTACTTTTGGGATTATAACAGTTAAGTATTATTAAAAATAATTTAAAATTATATTGACACATGGTTTTTAATTATTTCCATGTTTTCTAAACGCCATATTAAAATTTTAATGAAATTTATCCCATTAAAGTTGACTTTAAAGGAATTCTCTTAAAGGTAAATCCCACTTTGCCATTGATTTCCATTTCAAATGCTAAGAACACTTCTATCTGAAAACCTTCTAAAGTGTATAAGGTCATAGAGTTTTGGTATTGAAAGAATTAAAATTCTTCCCAGCTCGGTGCATGATGTAATATAACCACATACTATATTTTGTTAGGAACTTTTGGCTGCCAAAGTGTTACTTTTGCATTGTTGACAGCATTTTACTTACCTACCTGTTGTGCAGTGTTTTCCTGTGCCTGAGGGTCTTTCTAGCTAGATGCACTGTCTCAGTTTTGAGTACAAGTGTCCTTTTCATTAGGGTATTTATAACGTTTATATGTCTATGTTTCAGCCTATTTAAAAGCCTTTATATTTTAAAACCTTAAATTATTTGCAGTGTATTTTTAAACTGTGTTTACATGCATTGGCTTATAAAGAAGATTATAATATTTGAGGGGAATAATTCACGGCTACAGTTTTTTGTCTCCTTCAGACTACCTCTTTGGAAAAGTTTAGCTCAGTATTAGAATTACAAAATTGTTTCTAATTCTCAGTTTAGGTAATGTATACTTTTTTCAGTTGTTTCATAAAAAGTTTGTATTTTTATATTTAGTATCCAAACATTTCTTATCTTTAACACAATCTTTGCAATTTGTAAAGCAATTAAGAGCTAATATCTTAGTAGAATAAGTAGAGGTATACAACGTATTTTATCCTTTTTAGGTTATGGGTTAGTAATTCAAGTACCAAAAAGTAAATTTATATGCAACTCTTCCACTTCAAAATTCAGAATTTACACTTTAGACCAACATAATGTATTTTTGATGATTTTTGAATAAATTACTTAAAAGTGAGAGGATATTTAAAATCAGCACTGCTTATAAATTAGTACTTTTCCTTATGTTTTGAGCTCTAGCAAACGTTCAGCCAGCCAAAGTGAGCTAACCATTGTGACATCCTCAGAACAAACCTGGCTGCAGACCATTTGTTTACCCCTACAGTATGATGCTCAGGTACTCAGGTACTCGCTTTCTGTGATTTAGGGTCAAAATATAGTTTTTCCTTTTTTATGAAATATTTCTTGAGTGACAAAAATTACCTTGCGTTATTTTAACAGTAGAAAACAGACTGCTTTGGATTCTTGTATTTACGTTATTTATTTATTTATTTTTGTAGCTTTTCAAGGAGGGAAATGAACACATAAAACATTTATCATCTCAATCAGAAACATTTGAACTTTAAATAAAATGAGAAATTATAAAATGTTTCTTTGTTCTTTTAATCCTGATAGAAAATTATGTTCATTGTTCCTCCAAAGATGCCTCAGTTCCTCTTAAACTTTTTTCTCAGAGGAAAACTGCATGAATCTTTAAATATCACTTGATTACTTTTGCTTTTCCTCCAGATAAGGCTAAATTGCTCTGTGGGATTGGGTTTGTTTTATACTTTTCATGTTAAAGATGGAAGATGAAAATTGAGTATCTATAAACCTGTAAGCAATTGAATACGAAGACTGCAGTTAGTTAAACATCTAAATGGTTTTGTTTTAGAAAATTCCTAATATTGGATGTTTAAAACAAAAAGAAGCTAAAATGCTTTCAAATATTGTAGCTCATTTATGTAATCTTATGTAATAATTTGAAGGTAAACCTACTAAGAAATGAGAAGACATAGGGAAAAATATACACTAATGAAAGAAAGCTTTTCAGTATAAAGCTTGTTAGTCCTTCAGCAACAGTTCATGTAAGTGTGATAAACTGTAAATTCTTTTTTAAAAAAATGGTTTATTGGTACATTTTAGGTGTACAAGACAGTTTCATTCATCATTGGGATCTTGTTCCTTTACATGACGTATCTTTGTTCTTATTTTTTTCCCCATTCATATTCATCCCCCACTTCCCTGTTTACAAAGACTTTGTTTCCATGTTTTTCCTTTTCTCTTATTTTTTCTTTCCCTTCTTAACCTTTCCCCTTACTCTCCCACTTCCCCTAATCCTTTGGAACTTTTCTTCCTGTTACACCATATCAATTACACATTTTGATCCTTATTTACACTTTTAGTTTTTTACACCAGAGAAACTATTCAGTATTTACACGTGTGTCCTATTTATTTCATGTAAGGGCATTGCCTTAATTTGCATCCACTTAGCTATAAATGACTCTCGCTTCTTGTTCTTTTGGGCTGAGTAGTACTCCAATTTATTTATTTTTCAAATGTATCTTTATTCAGTCTCCAGTTGATGGGCATTTGAGCTGTTTCCAAGTTTTAGCTATTACAAACTGCTGCTATAAACATGGGTGCATATATATCATTGTGGTATGATCCTTTTAATTCTTTTGGGAACATACCCAGCAGAGGAATAGCTCAGTCAAATTGGACTTCTAATCCTACTTGTTTGAGGTATCTCCATATTGATTTCCACAGTGATTGCACCATTCTGCACTCCTACCAGCAAAGCCCTTTGTTATTGGTTGATTTCTTGATAGCAGCCTTTCTTTCTGGGGTGAGGTGGATTCTCAGTGTTCACATATGCACCTCTCGAATGACCAATGATATTGAACTTTTTCTTGCGTTTGTTTGCTTTTACTTCTTTAAGACTGTTCATTTCAGATGCCCTTTTTTTTTTTTTTTTTTTTTTTTTTTTTTTGAGACAGGGTCTCACTATGTAGTTGAAACTGACCTGGAACTCAATATGTAGTCCAGGCCGATCTCGAACTCAGCAATCCTCCTGCCTCATCCTCTCCAGTGCTGGGATTACAGGTGTGGCCACCAAGCCCAGCCCCATGTCTGTTTTTTAATTGGATCTTTATATTGGGGGGGGTCTGGTTAAGCCCAGCCAGATGTCTGTTTTTTAATTGGATCTTTATATTGGGGGGGGTCTGGTTTTTTTTTTAGTTCTTTACATATTCTAGATAGTAGACTTTTGTCTGAGGGACAGCTCAGCTTTGCGTGAGGATAATTTTCCCCCCACATTTTAGGTTGTCTCTTAGCTTTGTTAGTGGTTTCTCTGCAGTGCAGAAGCTTTTTAAAAATGAGATCCCAGTTATTGATTCTTTGTGCTAGTTCCCTTGTTGCTGTGGATGTATTCATAAAGTCTATTCCTATGCAAACATCTTCAAGTGTTCTACCTAATTTATCTTCCGGCAAGTTTAGTGTTTCTGTTTTAATATTTAGATCTTTACTCCTCTTGGATTTTAGTTTAGTGCATGGTGAAAGATAGGGATCTAGTTTTAATCTTTGGCAAGTTGAAATCCAATTTGTGCAACACCATTTATTAAAGAGGCTATCTTTTCTCCAGTGAGGATGGTTGGCTCCTTTGTCAAAGATGAGGTAGGTGAGTATGTCTGGAGTTGTTTCTGCATCTTCTAATCTATTCTGCTGATCCTTGGGTCTGTTTCTTTGCCAGTGCCATGTTGTTTTTATCACAGTGGCTTTGTAGTATAGTTTCAAGTTGGGAATTGTGAAACCCCCTGCCATGTCTCTGTTGCCTAGAATAGCTTTTGCTATTCTGGGTCTCTTCTGATTCTAAATGAATTTTTGGATTGTTTCCTCTGGTTCAGTGAAATATAGTTTTGGGATTTCAATCAGGATTGCACTGAATCTGTACAGCAGTTTGGGCAGTATGGCCATTTTCACTATATTGATTCTTCCTACCCAGGAACAAGGGATATCTTTCCATTTTGTTGTATCTTCTTCAGTCTCTTTTCTTTTCAGTGTTGTAGTTCTCAATGTAGAGGTCTTTTGCTTCCTTTGTTAGATTAATTCCTAGATATTTCATTTTATTGGATGCTATTGTGAAAGGGATTGTTTCTCTAATTTCACTCTCAGTGAGTCTGTTATTTGTGTACAAGAAGGCTTTTTGTGTACAAGAAGGATTTTTGTGTGTTACCTTGTATCCAGCTCCTCTACTGAATCTGCCAATTAAGTCTGTCTTTTGGCAGAGTTTTTTGGTTCTTCCATGTAGAGTATCATGTCATCAGTAAATAATGACAGTTTAACTTCATCCTTTTCTATCTCTATTGCTTTTATTTCTTTATCTTGTCTAATTGCTGTGGCTAATGTTTCCAAAAGTATATTGAACAGTATTGGTGACAGTGGACATCCTTGTCTTGTTCTTGATTTTAGTGTGAAAGTTTTTAGTTCTTGACTCATTTAATATGATGTTGGCTGTTGGTTTTTCATTGATATCCTTTATCAAGTTGAGATAAAGACCATCTATTCCAATTTTTTGCAGGGTTTTTATCATGAATGGGTGTTGAATTTTGTCAAATGCTTTTTCTGCATCTATTGAGATGATCATATGGTTTTTTTTTCCTTGACTCTGTTAATATAGTGTATTATATTTATTGATTTATGTATGTTGAACCATCCCTGCATTCCTTTGATAAATCTGACTTGGTCAGGGTATATGATCTTCTTGATGGCCCTCTGTATTCTGTTTGCCAGTACTTACTAAGAATTTTTGTGTCTATGTTCATTAGGGAGATTGGCCTTAGTTCTCTTTGTTGGGTGTTTCCCTGATTTTGGAATCAAAGTAACACTTGCTTCCAGGAATGAATTGGGAAGTATTGCTACCCTTTCGGTTTCATTGATAAGTTTAAAAGAGTAGTGGGAATAGTTCTTCTCTAAATATCTTTTAGAGTTCAGCAGGGAAGCCATCAGGATCTGGACTTTTCTTTGTTGGTAATTTTTAAATTACATTTTCAATTTCACTGATTGTAATTGGGATGTTTAGAATTTTTATGTCTTCTTCATTCAACTTTGGTAATTCATATGTACCTAGAAATCTGTCCATTTCTTCTTTGTTTTCCATTTTATTAAGAGTACAGGTTCTTGAAGTAGGTGTTGATGATCCTCTGGATTTCTGCTGCATCTATTGTGACTTTACCTTTTTCATTCCTAATTGCATGGATTTGAGCCTTTTCTTTCTTTCCTTTTTTTATAAGCTTGGCTAAGGGTTTATCGATTTTATTTACTCCTTTGAAAAACCATTTCTTTGACTTGTTGATTTTTTTAAAAAATCATTCTCTTAGTCACTATTGCATTGATTTCTGCTGTGATCTTTATAATTTTTTGTCTTATATGAGTTTTGGGTTTCTCTGGCTTTTCATTTTCTAGGAGCTTAAGATTCAGCATTAGGTTATTTGAGCTTGTTCTGTTTTCCTAATGTGGGCATTTAGTAATATGAATTTCTCACGTAGAACTGCTTTCATTTTATCCCATAAATTCTTGAATGCTATACAGGCTTTATCATTAAATTGTAAAAACTGTCTAATTTCCTTTTTAATTTCCTCTGTGACCCAGTGGAATTTCTTTATATTCTTTTATCAGGCCATTATGCATACCATTTTGTTGATTATATTTACTTTTTTTTTTAAGCTGCTGGAAATCAAACCTAAACCTTGAGCATGCTAAGCAGGCACTCCCACTGAGCTGTACCCCAGTCCCACCTTTAGTTTCTGTATTTTTCTAAAATTGACCAAAATTGACTCAGGTTTGCTTACTTCCCATCTCTCTACCCGCATTCAGTTCCAGGTTAGAACTGGTATTTCATATAAAAAGGGGCACACCTAAAACGTTTCTGTATCCAGAAGGATGTTTCTGCCTATTTAAACTGAATTTCTCTTAAGCATCCTTTGACTTAAGCAATAGCTGCACCTCAGAGGGCTTTACTCTTTTATATCAATTATGTGTCAAAACTAGCAAATGCTAGTGTTAATTTTAATAAATATTTCAAAAAGTAATCTAAGTAATGAGCATTTTTCCATCGTTGTGCTTGTTACTGTACACAATATTTATATTCCCAGGCAGTAGAACAGCAATTCTGAAAAAGTAGCTGTGTGGGAATTTGCACATGATTCCTATGAACTTTAAAATTATTGATGTTTTTGGAAACTTTAGGCTGATTTTTATGTATGTCCTGAGATACAGTATTTGGATATTAGGGCTGTCTAAATGATGTACTTTAGGTGTTAACTGGAGGTGATACTAGGGTAGTGTAAGGTTGCGAGAAATGTTTTTCTGATTGTTGCCCACCTGACTTTTTTCTAGTGTTGTCTTAAGTAGTGATGGTTCTCTATAATACTTGGCTCTGTATCATCATGTGAGTGCAGAGTATGGATATCGTTAAGACTTTTTTATACATGGGTAATTTTTCCTTGTACTCTTCATCTGTTCTCCAAAGGAGAAGATTCTTTCCCATGGCTTTGTATATATTAGGCATTCAAATACCATTTTTATTACTTAAATGCTAAGGACTTTCTTTTATACAGATCTACTTTTGATGCTTAATCATCACAAGACAACTTTGTGTCACGTGCCTGATACCACAGAACACTCAAGGAATGTAACTATATTGATGGTGTCAGGAAACAGTGGAACATTATGTACCTGTATGTTTATATTCATCTGACAGTTACTCGTGTGATTGTTTGGCTTAGAGAGTGTTTTGAAATATTTCCTTTTTCCTTGGAGGGGACTTATAGGGATATCTGCAGTTGTCGGTTGTTAAAGACACCACAATAAAGCAGAGGGGAAGATTTCTGATTCACAGAGTTTAATCAAACGTCAAAATGTGATCAGTAGAGTTAAATAATTGATCAGACATACAGTAATAAAAAGGTAGTAAATTCTTAGAGCTGTTTTTATCCAATCCCATTGAATATCAATTGTATACTTTTATCATACCCATAGTGTCTTAACTTCTGTGACTCAGAAGTATCATGCACGCATCTCAAAGTACCTGTGAGCAGTGCTTGTTTGGAGTGGAGTGGTCTGCCATGGAGAGTGGTCCCCAGATCTCAAATTATGTGGGGAAGTCACTACCCAAAAGAGTTTCCCCACAGTGCCTCTGTGGAGCCCGAGAGAGTCCTGGGTAAATACTACTGCCTGTAGGGCCTTGTGCTCTTCAACTACCTGAATGTGTCTTTTGAATGTTAGTAGTTATTCCCACAAGTAGCACCAACAAAACTGTATGCTTTGTTAACATTTTATACCGGTGTAATTTTCAGCCGGTTGTGCAGTGATTACTTTTTAATTGCTTGGGTCCCAGATACAGTCATTGAATAATATTACATGTTTTTAGCACAGAAATGCTGCGGTCCAACATGCATTGGTCTAAAATATGAGGAGAGTTGGAATAAGAGTTACTAGTGTGGGAATTTGAAAGCAATAGTTTGTATTACTTTGTATTATATAACAAATATTTTAAGCAAAATAACTCTCTTAAAACTTACCTAATGAAGTCTGCTTTTCTGCTGTACATTGTATTGTACAGTTAATGTGCGATTAGAATGGTTGGAGCCCTGATCTGGTGATCTTCCCCACTTTGTAGAAAACTAAATTTGTTTTCATCTGAAATTTTGCTTTCTTTTGTGGGAAAGATCAAGTGACGGGTTTTTATATGATTCTAATACAGGAGCTTTTCTCTTTCCAGTTCGCCACTATGATGCCTTGGTGAAATAAGCTTATAAGGGCTTTGAAAACTTTAATGAATAAGTACTCTCAAGATTATCAGGAAAGCTGGGCATGGTGGTGCATGGCTGTAATCCTAGCACTTGGGAGGCTGAGGCAGGAGAATTGCCACGAGTTTGAGGCCAGCCTGAACATGTTGCAAGATGCTCTCTCCAAGAAAATAAAAAGATTATCAGGAAAATGAGTGATTAAAAAGATGCAGTAGGGGCCGGGGATTTAGCTCAGTGGTGCTGCTTCCTGCCTCATAAGCACAGGGTCTGGAGTTTGATCCCTGGTACAAAAAAATTAAAAGCATCAGCTCTGAGAAACTATTGATTTTTTACTTTAAGGTACAGTAAGCTAGAGTACCCAATGCAAATATTTTTAAGTCCTCATAGCACACATAGTATTTACACTACCTACTCATTTTTAGATTGAAGTGTATATAGTTAAAAGTGGCAAATGTGAACCCACTTTTCTAATTCCCCTACCTGCTCTGACAGGACTTAGGCACTTCCCATGGCAGTGATTTCCCACAGCCTTTGTGAGGGTGTTGAGAGCACTCTTCCTCATCTGGATATCTAGGTCTGTAAGGTCTTATTTTGGCTTTTACCTTGTTCTTCCATGTTTATTGAGTTGAAATTAATCATCTCAGAGAAAAGAAAAGCTAAATATAGAATAATGGTAGCGCGTTCATGTTTAATATGCAGGAGCTTAGAGTGACACAATCATCTGAAAGTGACTTTTACAAAACACGCATGGTTACAGGTTTACAACTGATTTCCTCACTGCAGTAAGAGTGTACCGTTAAGAAATAGGGTGAATACACAGCCATGTACTTGACATTGGATAGCTCGGGCACACTCCTTGTTCCTTCCTGATCCTGAGAACCACAGTTCACTGTTATAGAGGTATCCAGGGGTGCCAGACAAAAGGTGACCCCTGAAGGTTCTAGAGCTTGAGTGTGCTGGATGCCCGGAAGTAGGACAGGAACTTATAACAGAAGCTCACGATGAAGAACCAGACATTCCGTGCCATCTGCCATCTTGCAACAAGTAGGCGCCAGATGATGAAAAAGAGGGCGATGTTAAAGAGGTAGTGGATATTTCGGAGCCTGAGGGACAGATGGACAGAGCAGTTAAAGCAGTACCAAACTCCTGGTTGTTTTTGCTAAGGCACAAATGTTTCATCCTGTTGTGAGCAGCACATACTAATTAAGTACTCAAGAGTGTCTGTCGGACTTGGTCTTTTTGGTTTTTGTATCTCCCCACAACATTCCTTTCAATAATTCGATTTCTACCATATTTCCTTAGTTTTTCCTCATATATGTCTCTGAAACTTTTACAAATGGTTAGCATAATGGTTTTATTTTGCTATTACTACCATATTGTGAATTTCACTAGAGTGAATTCTAAAGTTTTTCTCCTTTTCCAGTGTCCTCTATTTTGCAATGCTTTCCCTTGCTTATCTCTGCACTACAGACCCTTTGCTTCTACCAGCATTACTACCTGCGTGCCATAAGTTCTTATCCTGCTCCTGGAGTTAGGAGTCAAAGAAACGTAAGGAAAGAACTGAAGAGTGACTAGCCTCCCGCCCACCCCACATTATGCATCAGGATCAGGTCCCCTACTCCCTGGGTAGTCGTGATATCACATCGTGGTAGGCTGTGGTGGAAAAACAAATATCTGATCAAAATTGGTTCCTTCCTTACTATGCATTACCATGGACAAGTTCCTTGCTTTGAGACTTGTGATAAAAATGGGTGGCAGAACTGGTACTTGTCTCCCCAGGGGTGGAGTGCAGCCTAGTTGACAGTGCATTACAGGGCACTGCACAGAACACAGGACTTGCATTAAGTGTCCAGTAGTGTCCTCTGCTCAAGTTTTGATCAAACTCGGGACCTTGTGCTTGCGAGGCAGGTGGTAGCACCACTGAGCTAAATCCCCAGCCCTCCCTGCTTAAATTTTATACCTGCTACAAAGTCAGGTACATATGAGGTCTCCATAAACATTAACTTACCTTTTTAAGTGTTGCCTTGCTTCTGGGATCCCAGCCATATCCTCTTTCAGCAAGTACTTCTTAACTCCCAAGACATAATTTTCAATGTATTCCAACCAGTTTAGCTGGCGCACATCAAAGTTGAATATCTGCAAGGGAAGAGAAAGTATGGGCCACCAGCATTGCCCTGCAGGACTGCCACTTTGTCTACCTGGTGCAGTTTTTACACAAGTCAGGGATACTGAGCTTGGGAGACATAAATGGGATGCCTCAGAGCAGAGATTACTGGGGCTGTTACTTATTCTTAGGTCTTTTACCCATTAGAGGAAGCACTTCCTGAACATTTCAGTTAGTTAAATTCTAGAAAAGCTGTTTCTCATGAAACATTGGTACATTTTCTCCTTTCTAACAATACTGTGTAACTATATTTTTCTGTTCACTTTTGCTAACATATAAAAGTTCAAGAACAAATTCTGTGTTTATAGCAACTTAGGATCTTAGAGTACATGTAGCCTTTTGTATTTCATTGTTAGCTATGACTTCACATTCTGTTATTTTCCTTAGTTTGGCAGTTTTATTTCTGTTTCATTCTTTTAATTGTATATCAATTCAAGGTATCGCAAACCTTTGTCAATTTTTTGAGTATTAGGAAAACAGTAATGTTAATGAGTCCTATAGGGCTTAGACTTGTCCAGATGCCAAATTGCTTTCCAAAGTACTCCACTATAATTTTGTATTTGTCAAGTATTACTGAGTATTATTTATTCACATATATAAACAGATTTTATTTTACACTCCACATTCTTAAGGTAGATTTTGATGAAATCCTAGTTTAAAATCTGATTCTATATGGAAAATCCAACTAAATTCAGAGCCACACTAGAATTTGACAGTTACATTTAAGACTTTTGCTAAAATATTTGGAGAGCATATGTTAAATCTGAAATTTTAAATTTTTTTCTATTTTTAGTCATTTTAGGTTGAAATAATTTTTTGTTTTGTTTTTTGAGACAGGGTCTCACTGTGTAGTTGAGACTACCCTGGAACTCACTATGTAGCCCTGGCTGGTCTCGAACTCACAGTAATCCTCCTGTCTCAGCCTCCCAAGTGCTGGGATTATAGGCGTGCACTACCATGCCCGGCTAGGTTGAAATAATTTTATAATGCAAAAAATGCTGTCAGGCCAGGTGTGCTGGCACATGCCTGTAATGTGAGCACTAAGAAGGCTGAGGCAGGAGGATTGTGAGTTTGAGGCCACAGCAAGTTCACGGCCACCCTGGACTACATAGCCTGATCATGTCTCAAAAAAAAAAAAAAAAAAAAAAAAAAAAGTCATCAGGTACAAAATAAATATTGAAAATAATCGTTTCTTACTGGAAAATGTCAGTTCAGAGTAAATTGAAAATTGTAGTAATGGCATAAGGACAGGTGCAGGGAACGCAAGACTTGTAACTGAGGGGAGATAAAACAGGAACCTGTACAAAATCATAAAAAAATCCTCTATATTTGTGAATTTCAGAATATGCAAAGAGTTTAGGATTTAACCTCTGTGACTGCCCAGAAGCTAAAGAAGTAAATAGTGCTAAAACCAAACAAAGTGATGGTCTATGTTGAGAAACCAAGTGAAGTACTGAAGCAGTGTAGGAGACCTGCCTGGGAGGGAAGGCGGGGTGACCTCTCACACAGCACTGGCTGGAAGAGAATGGAGCCCCGGGGTAGGGCGAGCAACGAGACGCGCTTCCACCGCGAC